TTTTGTCGCTTTAATTTGGTTGTTAGGGATAAGGGATGGCATCATTTTTTGTAGATTATGTGAAGCACAATCAATCATATTGTTTTTCGTAATCAATTGCAAATTACCACCCAGCTCCTAGTGGTTGGTGCTTTAATGCTTCCATCACCATCCATTTCTGTCTACTCTTCAAGCTTTTCCAAAAGAGTATATTAGCTTAACGATCGAACCAAGAATTTAGTCAAATACAGAGCCTGGAAGAAACTGGATCCATTATCTCATTCCTTTTTCTTTTAAGGGATAATAATAATAATAATAAAGAATAAATTAGGTACTAATTTTTCTTAAAATGAACATGTCTGTAATTTCATTCTACAAAATGCCCCACCTCATCGCAAAACGACGACGTGGCTCTGTTTAATAAAGCCACTTACTCTCGAGCACATGCATCAAGAGTCAAAGACCAGACAGCCCACGCCACGCCCGCAACCTATTCAATGTCTTTCTTGTGCTTGCAAAATCTTATTATTCCCAAACTATCACTTTCACCTTCACTCTTTAACTTGGTTTTACTTATTCGGTTATTCCTTTCCCTCTTCATCTTCTAGCGTTTCATTAAAGCTAGCGGCCTATCCCTTCTCTTTTTTTAACCGCTTCTTCATCTTTCAACTATGGCCGACTGGGGCCCCGTTGTTATCGGTGTGGTACTCTTTGTGTTGCTGCAACCGGGGCTTCTGTTTCAGTTACCGGGACACAACCGCCAGTTGGAGTTTGGTAGCCTGAAGACCAACGGCAAGGCTATTGCTGTTCATACTCTTATCTTCTTTACGCTCTATGCCATCCTCATCTTGGCTGTTCACGTCCACATCTATACCGGATGAACCGGTTACCGGGTTTCTGGGTATGAGTCTTGGTTCCAGACATCCAGTTCGTTTGTAGTTGTATTAACTTCTATAAAACAGATCTGAGTGTTTACATCATTTTAATTGGGCTAAAGACCAAGCCTGTATATTTAGGCTGTTGTATGAGCTTAAGAAAGAGAAATAAACGAAAGAACGAAAGAATTGGAGACAAATTTTGCCATGTTTACTTGCTCTGTGCTTAGTTAATTTTTTGTTTTCAGAAGTCTGGCATGGCTGATTTTTGGGCATTTGCATCATTACTTGCTCATATTCTATTATAATAAAATGTATAAATGCCAAGACTTGGTTGTGTTAGGTCTATACTTTAGAAGAGACTTCGTATTTGGAACTTTGTTTTCTTTTTCTTTTCTGGATTGCATTGGTAAGGATGCTATTCTAGCTATTGATGTATGTTAGGTTAAGTGGTTGGTGAGCCAGCCTCGTAAGAACCATTATGGCTTGTTATTTTTTGCGTACTCACTAATCACCCAGTGGCTTTGTGACTTAGAACGTAAGGAAATGTAATTAACTCTTAAGAAAATGAAATTGAAATGTTTCTTCTACTGGTTAGTCTAAGACTGACGGTGCCAGGCATTGCATAGAATACTAACATTAGAACTTTCTGCCCGGGGCTGTGGTGATTGTAAAATAATTTTTCAGCTTTCAGCCTATCTCCTTTCGTTGCAATCTTGATTGGGATCAAAGTTGCCGAAAATAAGGTCATTACAATGATACTCTTTGCTTTGTGTTGAAGTGCAAAAACTAAAGTCTATAAAATCATGCAACATCCAGGAATTGACGAACATTTCTTTCCATGTTTCATGTAACGAAATAAGGTCATTACAATCATACCCTTCACAAGGCCTATTGACAGCCTTAGACTAGTCAAATTTCATGTAGAATTGACAAACATAGTGAAAAGGTTTCATTATTATACATTTCTTTCCATGTTTAACAAAATACACACACACAACCATAGAACAATTAACAAGAAGCTCATGAAAAGAAAAATAAAATTAGAATTGACAAAGATGGTAGAATTAGAAGCCACAACTTCGTCCGAAAAAGAAAAAACGTGTTAAAAAATTATCAAGGACAGGATAACTTGATCAACCAGCACGTATGTGAATGCCAACTGCAATGATCAAGATAGTGATTATGCAAAAGTATATAATTGCATGAATGAGGATGGCAATTCCACTGGTGTACATGTTTCCGAACTCTATTACCCTGGTTCTTGCCGGTAGCTGGAAGAGAAGCCCTGGAGACAAAAGGATGAACAATACCACAGCGACAACAACCGGCCCCCAATCCGTACTCATCTTTCTTTGTTTTCTTCTCCTCTCTTAGTTTCTCTCTCAAAGTAGATGTGTGAAGAACAGAGAGTTTCTCTTCAATTGTAAATTTTTGAAAAGAGTGATGCTCGTTTCCATTATGTAGTAGACTCAGGGTACTAAATTTCTTGGTGGCGAAGTGATGGGGATGCAAAACTTAATGTGGAAGAAGACAGTTGGTTTAAAAGGGAGGAAAGGTATGTTAATGGTAGTGGATTTGCTTTATGAAGATGGAAAGACAACACATTCTTTAAAATTAATTTCCAATTATTTTTCACATGAATGCTTCTTTTTGGTTGCTTTAAGAGATTGATGAAGGTGGATCCTTTACCAAAGATTGCATTAGAGACAAAATACGAAAAAGCAGGTGCATTTGTAAAGAAAGAAGAGCCAAGACTATGTGTTTACGGAATGCTTTCCTTGTTTGGTTTTACCTTTATTTCAGGAATGGGTAAAGTAAATGTACATAGGAAGGTGGGCTCAAACTAAAAGCAGATGGTACCTAAATTACTTAACAACTAACAAGCTCACCTTATGATTACAAATGCAATACCTTGAGACAAGTCTAGAATATATGTATAATAACAGCCAAGAAACGCTAGGAAACTATGTAAATGTAAGAGAAGTTGTTAAAGGTGCCCATCTTTTAAGATAACAAAAATCAATTCAAAGCACAGCATTTGAGCTAAAATCTATCTAAGACCCAACACATCCTCAATTCTCTACGTGCTGCGGCTTGAGCTAACTTTAGGAGTGTAATTCATTGTTAGAGAATGCAAAACTACGACATTTTTTAATGTTATCGGATCAATATTTAGCGATAAATCTATTCATTCTGATGATACTGTGGGATCAATATTATAACATCACAAGATATGGACCGGTATATATGATTTTATATCATGAGCCCACTTTCTACTCTATACATGAGCCTAGCACGGAATGTATATTAGTAGGCCCTAAATTGGGTTAAGCATCAATCTTGTAATGGGCTGGGCTGGACTTTTGAGGAATACCTAATTCAATTCCGCTTGGTTATGCCGCCCAAGCACGACGAACAGTGCCGTCACGGAGGTGCACGTAGCTGTCAAAGCATCGTGGCATCCAATGCACATCTTCCGGTCCATTTTACCTTTTCTTCACCCTCTAGTTTCCTCTTTGTCTCCATTCACCCTCTTTTGTCTCTTTCTCAATCTAAATCCATCTTCTCCACACTTCCACTTTATAGTGCTTCACTTGCTTTCTCTCAAACCTAAATCCTACACAACTTATTAGTTATTACTCATCTTCTCTCATTGCAGGTCAACTCAACTCATCACTCGTTACATTCTGATAAGAAAATGGCAGACTGGGGCCCAGTAGTTATAGCCACTGTGCTGTTTGTGCTGCTAACTCCAGGGTTGTTGTTCCAGCTTCCTGGTAAAGGCAGAATCGTGGAGTTTGCGAACATGCAAACCAGTGGCCCCTCCATCTTTGTTCACACCATCCTTTACTTTGCCCTCATCACCATCTTCCTTATTGCTATTGGTGTTCATATCTACACAGGATAATGTTAGCCAATCTATCACTATTAATCTGTGTCTTTTTTTATTTTCTTCCATTCTTGTTTGCTTGTTTTCATCTCTCATGATCAAATTCTTCAGTTTTTGTCAGTGGATAAGTAATGTAATTCGCTAAGAAATTCTTCTTGAATATTGTTTCTGGAATTATTTAAGTTTCTGCTCTATTTTGTAAGTTTATCTTGGCTATGAGAATGTGATAAGAGTTTATTTTGAGTACATACCCAGATGATGATTAGATTCTCTTACATGATGTTACAGAGTTTTATAAAAGAATGCCCAGATTATCATTTTGTTATCAAAAGCTTCAAGAAATGCTATATACTATGATACAATACAGAATTGAAATGTTATTCATCATTTCTTTTCTATGAGCGATCAACCTCATCTTTTCGTACCAGTAATCAGCTAGAATATGAATCCTATGCACTCATGTTTATTTCCTATGATAGTATTTCCCCTAATTCTAACCAATATTCATTAGTCTTTACTATGCTAGATTTGGTTTGTGATATTTGGCGTGATGTTGAAATGCTTTATTTAATAGGAAGTTCCAGGGCGGCAATTATCTTATGCAGGGTTGTTTAGGCACAAAACTAATCTACAGATTGACATTTCCAATGTAATGAGGGGATCCACAAATCTTTTAGTTATGCAACACAAATTATAACACTAAACCACTACTGCAGGTAATTATAAAGAACTAAAAATTATCACTTCTTAACTGGCAGAAATATATATATGTACAAATTCATAATACAAATAGAATTTTACAAACATTAATCAGTTCAGTAAATTCCTTCATAGGGATATGAGAGAAGCATATCAATAATGCCTAAAACTATTTGTTCATTAATCATAATGCAGCTAACCTCATTTTATTCTCTCAAGCTTTCGTAAGTCTCACCTTCATGAAAAATTCCAAGCTGCAGGAAAAGAATAAGAACTATTAAGAGGCAATATTTCGTTAAGTTTGAGACAAAAGGGGTTAGCACATACAAGTTCTGCAAGCATTAGTCGAGCCAAGAAGCTTAGCCCAGGTGATTGGTTCCTTCAAGTATTCAATTAAAGAACTGAAATAAAGGCATGGGGAAGTGAGAGTCGAAAGGGAGATAGCACATACAAGTCTTTACAAGCACTATTTGAGAGCCAACAACTTAGCTTGGGTGATGACCTTAAAAAGATAGTAATGGAACTATGTTCCCGTCTATATCCTCAACTCAAGAAAGTAAATAGAAGAAAGGAGAGAGTAATGGGATTATGTTCCCTTCTATATCCTCAAGAAAGTATATAGAAGAAAGGAAATGTTCCATCCTAATGGATTCTATTCTTTCAAAAACCTTCACTGTCTTTTACAGCAAAATTTAGACTCTGAAGTCACCAAAACCTCAAATGTTAAATATGAAACCCTCATTAACCTATAAGCAAATTGAACACAACCAACTTCTGTATCATTAAAACTCATGAAACTAATCAAACAACTGAACAAGCTATAAGTTTGACGTAAGTGATAAAAGATAAGCAAATTTCTCCTTTTTCTCTGTTTAAAGCATAACAATCCACCCTTTTAATGTAAAAGAAGTTTCATTTTTCATGTGGATATAACCAACTTTTATAATGTAGCTATTGACTAGCTTAACCATTAAGATCTCTTGTAAGGGTATACAATGCCCTAGAATCCATGTCTCACTAACTGTTAATGAGTTCAGTCTAAATTTATAATTGTAAGTGAAAAAAAATACTTGAAATGAAAAACAAAAAAAAAACCTACTGCCTATATATACAAAAATGTTAGTATGTGAAGAAAAAAATGAAGTGGTATAGAAATTGGATAAGGAGGGTTAACATGATAGCACTTGACAAGCATAAAGCAGAAATTTTATAACAACGAGGGAGTAGCAAGAAAAGTACAAAGGTTTTATTGGACGTAAGGTTCATACTGGACTTTTGATCCCTTATCATGGTCAATTGAAATTCCAATCTACCTACAATCCTTCTCCCTGATATACATAGAGAGGAACTGTTGAAGCAAGAAAAACCCTCCAAGATAATTACCTAAAGACAATGTGGATGAAGAGTTGCTATCCTATGCCTGTCAAGAAACACATGTAGCAACAACTTGACAGTAGACGAGAGCAGTTTTCGTAGAATAGATTAATCCCAAGTTAGAGGGCACACTGGCCAAGGCAAAAAAAAATGTTCGATCTCCATCCAAATTAATGAAGGAGCAACATTTATCAGTGATGTTCTTTTAGTTTCTAGCCTAAAAAAGGGTCAGATGATGGAAAACGGATACTAAGTGTTTTTAAATGGAGGTTGTTGGGCAATATATGACAAACATGAAAAAGCCAGCGAATAATCAAAGTAAAGATGGGAGAAGTAAAACTTTCCCATCTGCTGGCAAAATTTTAATTACAACCGTGAAAGCAGAAATAGATGTCTGGCAAATGTCGAATGACAAGGCGAAAATTGAAAGAAAGCCTTTATATACTTCACTTGGTACTCCCCCTTAATTTTCAACAAACTCTTTACCTTTTACCTTTAACATTCAAGATCATTCAAATACATCCCAGACGACCAAAATCAACATTACTCAGTTCACATTTTGACTCATCTAACAAATAAAATGATTCAATAAGCAGTCATAAATCTTCCATCCATGACAAACATAAATCATACACAGAAAATCATGACAATTAAAGTAAAGAATTTTCAGTAAGAATGGCTCAATTAATACAATCTCAAAAAGTGAAATAAAACTACAAACAAATACAAAATAACAAAACACACAGATAACCAATAGAGAGTTTGATTCATAATCCACAATTTCATATCATTTCACAGCTTGTCCCAAATTATCAGACATGTCCAAAACAAAACAGAACAGGCAAAACAAAAATAAAAGAGAGAGGCTTACCAGGCACATCCCCAGAACAAAAGAATGAGCGACCCAGTTGAGACAAATTAGAGAGAAACCCACTTAAATATAACAGCAAAACCGAACAAAGAACCCAAGGCATCAAAATAAAGCCAACTACAAACGTGACAGAGCCAAATAGCATCAAAGTGAGCGAGATTCCAAAAAGAAACGAAGCAAAAGCAGTGGGAGAGACTCTTGATATGGAAATGGGCTGTCTTGAAGAAGAGGGCAAATCACGTTCATGGCCAGAAGATAAGCAAGTGCTTAGGATTGGTTTGACTTTGAGAATTTCAATTATAGAAGAGCAGAGTTCGTAGAATACTCGTAATTGATGCTGCTCTTCTTCAGCTCTCATGGTTAGTTACAATTTCTTTTTTATTTTTGTCTGTTTAAGGATAAGCTCCAAGGTTTTCGGCTCGGTTGACGATGAAACAAGACGAGGAAGCAGACGTACTTCGGAGGTCGGTAGTAGACAGTTACTAGTTAGGCACAAAGATGGGCCACATACCAGAGTTTTGGTGGGCTCGTGGGAAATATCCGAGATTTAAGGCTCTAAATTGAAGCCCAAAAAAAAGCGGGCCTAAACAACAAATGCCCAAATTAAGCCGCTTCCACTATTATATGCTGCAATTGATTTTACTAACTTTCGTCTGATAATAGAATATTCAAATCAAAATTCAGTAAATGGCTCTTGTAAAGTATCTCAATTCTCAACTATACATGAAATTTGATGTAGTAACAGCATATTAATTAATAATAGGATATTAATATCACTTGTTACAATTTTTTTATAATTGCTGTGATATTATTTCCTCAATAATCACATCAATATTGATACATCACAATATCACATCCTACAACTACCATAAGATATAGTAAATGTAATATTACGTTGCATAATTGTAGGTAATTAAATACAAGTTTCTAAACTTTAGCTTATAGTTCTACATTTAAATTAGAGATTGATAATGACTTTATGTTAATTAAATTAAGTTTAGCCAATAAAAGTTAAAGATTATATATGCTTGGTAACTAATAAAAAATAATGATGTGAATAGAAATCATCATATGTTATAAAAAAAACTCATAATTATATAAAAAGAGTATCTAATTCCTAAAAATAAAAAATATTCGTTGCACCACTTAATCTACAGTATATTATTAACTTATTATTTAGGTTGATTTACTAAACAGGCGAAGAAAATGGAATGCAGCTCATTGATGCACATGTACACAGCTTCGCTTTAACTTGGATACTTGCCTAGGGATGGGAAATTTCAGTTAACCGAACCGGATAAGGAAGTTTATAAACCGAACCGGTTTTTTGGTTCAAATAAAAACTTGAATCGAAACCTAATCGGTTATATGATTAAACCAGTTATGAACCAAACAAAATATATGGTTCACTGATTAATCGGATTTAAAGAATGACTATCGACTGCAAAAAGTTTGGCCACTGGCCACCAGAACTTCTACTCTCAAATTCAAGCCAAATGTAGGAGAAATGTAAATATACACAGTTTTGATATAAATATTAAATATTAAATACACCCAAAGGCTGAAAGTGATAAATTACCCAGTACCATACTATTATTCTTCACCCTAAAAGTCAAATTAAGTCCTCTAAATTTCTTAGATGTTCACGAATTCAAATAAACTTGAGAAGATGGGAGAAAAAAGCGAAAAAGAAAGAGAAAACCAAGGAGAAGAGATGGAGAAAAAGACGAAGAAAAGGTGAAAAGAAGAAATGGAAGAGAAGAAGATGAAAGAGAAAAGTGGCGGAGAAGACAGAAGATGATGAAAAAGGAAGATGAAAGAGAAAAGTGGAGAAGACAGAAGATGATGAAACAGGAAGATAAAGAGAAAGAAAAATGCTATGGACCCGACGCTTTGCATTGAATTTTTACACCAAATGACGTGTCCATCGAATCAAACAGCCACATATCACGTTAATAAATATTTCACGAATGAACGGTCGTCCATAAAAATATAGACGGCCGTTCATTTGAAATGGACTTGTCCATATTATATGGATAACCGTCCACCTAGAATAGACATCCATTTATAGTTTAAACTAAAAAAATTTGGCCTAAATTGTTTATAGACAGCCGTCCTCATAATTATGGACAGTCGTCCTCATAAGAGGACGGGCATCCATCTTTTAATATTAACAAATTTTAAATTTATTTAATGCATTAATTGTGAATTTTAATTGAGTTAGTGTCGTATTCTTATGACTCTTGTCCAATTACTTTGAATATAGATAAAAATTTAATGAAGATAACGAACATTTACTTTTTGGATTGAGACTCAAATGTTGGTGTAAAATTTTTTAAATTAAACAATGGACAGACATCCATCTAAAAGGGGTACTTGTCCATTATAAAATTTCGGTCTCTGTAACATTATTTAAAGAGAAAAGTAGTAGTGGCAGTGGACTCTAGGAAGTTAAGTATAATTTATATTAGGCTTTTTTTTTTTTTTAAAAGAAAAGCTGGTTTCAGAATCCAGTTTCGATTAACCAGTTTAAAAAAACCTGTATACTGAAAACCAAACCGAATAATCGGTTTATGAATTTTTCAAACTGAAAACTAAACCAATTTTCAAAAAAACCAAATTTTCGATTCAGTGTGGTCAGCTTTTCCGATTCGGTTTTCAGTCCCTTTTTTTCCCACCCCTAATACTTGGAGAGGCTGGTTGGTCTGTTCTATGGAAGTAAGAAAAAGAAAGATGGGCAACCAACCAACGAAATAAAGAATTAATCAAAGCAACACCAAGTTCATTCTCAGATCCGTGTACGGTTGTAATGTCTCTTCTTTTACACGATTGATACAGAAATGTTTATAAACCCAAAGCGAAGAAGTTGTAAAGAAGGTTCGTGTCATGGGGACATCAGTGGGGTCAAAGGAACCAAATTAAAGATAAAGACCCATCAACAACAGCTATGAATTTGCACGTTTATGTAAGTATTTCAAGAGAAGAGAATAACTGTCTGCTTTCTTTTCTTTTAACTTTCACCATAAACCAAAATATTCTGTATTATTTTAAACTTCAAATCCAGAAAATTTGGTTAAAAAGAGAGTGCACTTTTGGTCCATATATGCAAATATTCTTCATCACTTTACTCATCAAAAGCACAATGCAAGAGAGTGAAATCAAATGAAGGAGTAACTGTCTTGTGCGCAAGTTATCGACATTAAATTTCTAATGGAAATCGTTCATTAATTCTTCAAAAGGGCATCGAGAAAATCATCAAAACCACGTTAATGTGATATATAATTTTTAGTTTATAACAATGGTAAGTTGGTCTAATTTGCTTCATTAAATTTCCTGAAATCTTCGATAAAATTAAAACCCTCTAAAGGGTTCAAGAATATATTGAAGCATCGCAACAAACTCCCACTTGTTAACTATGGGGTGGTGACCGACTTATCAATCAGGTAGAATATCTTATCGTCAGACTTTTGAATATCATGAAACTTTTCGCTGTCTAGTACATGTCTGAGTAAAGCAAACCATCTCAACTTGCACAAAGAGACTATGTGGAATCCTCGACTGTATTTGCCTCTTTATAATCAACTTAAAGATCAAAGGGAAGAACGAAGAGATTTAAGATGATCTAGTTTTCTTTCTTTGGTGCTAAATATACCATGATATATTCTTGTAAGTTGTAAAGGATTAGAAGATATGATAATGCATGCGTGTAAAATAGATAAAGGTGAATGTATGAATCTCTTTACTAAATCTGAGTTGTTGTAACCTGGATTCCTGGAACATGAAAAGTATTGTTCTGTTTGGAAAAATATGTGAAATCGAAGGAGTAGAAAAAGACACTGTTCTTATCCTCCAACTTAACAGTTCTTATCCTTCTGGATCTATTTTACTTTCTATTTCAACAATTTGAGATGTTAAATTTCACATGGCAACTGATCATACAACAAAGCAGATAGAAAGTATTGGTCAAGTGGTTGATCTCTTGCATATAGAAAAGCTAGACACGTCGTCTCATGGTTGACTGGCAAACCCATTTATATCCAAAATAGTTGAACGTATTCCATTTACTGCTATTTGGTCATATATGATTTACAAGTTGATCTTTTTGAAGAGGCATATTGTAATCTCATACATTATCTTCAAAGAGCAAGCAATAAAAAACAAATCAGTATAAATAATATTAACTATAAGTTAGAACATGATTCTTTTGTTTCTCCTTTCTCCAGTCTAGCCAAAATATGTTTGGTGGTCCTCTGTACTTATTATAATCCATTTCGCAATAAAGTGAAAAAGCAAATCTCTGAGTTGTGTTTTGGAAGATTGATGATGGCAAACAGCTTGAGGTACAACATAACCACTCGACGAACCATAATATTCCTCATAGAGAGCACATTTTAGGAACATATATGTGGACCTCATGAACAGAAGCAGTCTTGTAAACAGTATTGATCATAACTTACATGTTATCTTGAGTAAGAGTTGTGCTAAAGGGTGGCCAATTACCATGCCTTAAACCAAAAGAAAAAAAAAAAAAAAAAAAAATTAACTAACGTCCATTAATGATCTTGAAGTCTTAACTAACTAGTAGGATCTACCACTGTTAAGAAAATTAACATATTCTGCTTGGTAGGATTCACACTGCTACCAAACTGAAATTGTCCCTGTGTCTTTCAGATATTAAATATTCCCTTGAAAGGCATAAACGATGGGCATTTCCTTGCATAAAATAAACAAAAGAGTTTCAATTTTGAGGTTGTGGCAATACAGTTTTCATAGACTTCGCAACATACTTTAACTACTGGCTCCTGTAGGATATATTAGAAAGGCAATTAATTTTATCTTTTTAACACGTGGAGAATCCTAGATTATATATTTTTGAAGGAGATTACTGATTATGCCTTCCCTATATCTAGCTGGGTGCGAAGGACCACAAACTTATTTAGATTCTTGCCTATCTGTAGGCCCTTTCAATAAAGATCAAAATAATCCCAAAACTCCATTATATATAGACACCCTCTTGTACTGAAATACTCACAATTTGACACACACACTAGACTAAACAAAAACATTCAGGTTAAGATGGAGTCAAACCGCAAGCGCAGAGGGTTCATTAAGGGGAAGCTGATGCCTCTATACCGAGTGGGGAGGTCTTCCTCCAACGTACAATACAGTAGCAAAGTTATGAAGCCGAGCCAGCCATCGGCGGCGACTGCTTCAGTGGGTTATGTCGTCCACCATCATCAGGACTATGTAGTTGCTCAGCCTCAGCCTCAGCCAAAGGTTTCGTTTATTGTACAAGCTGATAACAATCGTGAGGTGAACCACTTTGATAGCCTATTTGGCGATGAAATGGTCGATGACAAAGCTGCAAGCTACATCGCTTCTGTTCAAGAACGTTTCAAGCTTGAACGTAGCAACTCAACCAAGACAGTGAGCGTTTGACAAACTTAGCGAGCATATACAAACCCA